CACGACGGGGGGGAGTGGAGCTGGCGGCTGCCTCCAGGAACCTCCCAGCCCATGCCACCCCCTCCAGAAGCTTCTGCGAAGGCGGTCTGATGCCACAGCGGAGCGTTTCTGTGCATTTGGGGGCAGCCCTTTGTGCCAGTTGCATTCAGTGGGACTAATACACGGGGAATGAGGATTGGAGGGATGTGCCTGGGTTTTTCCTTTGCGGCTTACTGGGGTTTTCTAGGTTTCTGTGAGGATACACCTGATTCTGAAAGACGTTGCTTGCTCCTCTGTGGCAGGTCAGGGCTTCAGGCACCGCTGGGCATGTAGCCATCAGCTTGCTTCATGTCCCAGGCACCTGATGGTGGTCACCATCATGTGGGACCCTTCTTGCCCCGTGTGTTATGTCAAACCAGCCGAATCCCTTGGCTTTCCTGCCATGATCTCCCCTACAGCCCTGGTTTCTGGGTCTGTGAGCGATGGTGGTCTTGGCTGTGTTGCAGCCAGGGGCCCTGGGGCAGCCTCACCCCCGTGGAGGGACCTGGCTTTGCGAGCGATGGCTGGTGAAGGAGGGTCTTCCTCGGGAGCTGGTGGTGTGGCTGGTCGGGTGTCCTCTGGCAATGTGTAGGTGTAGGGCCAATGCTGGTGGTGCTTGCTGGGACAACTGGCCCTGAGGGAGCAGGCATGTTGTCCTTTGGGGGCATGGGGAGGCCTGGTGGGGACCGGGAAGCTGATGTCCCATCCCATGGGGGAGCTGGGGTGGTGGAGCCATCCTCCATTGCTGCTGGCATCCTGAGTGGTGACTGCTTGGTCTCTTTTCTCCATGTCCCCTCGTCTCCCACAGTGGAGAACAGGCAGCTGACCCTGGACCTGCAGACGGAGAACAAAGGCAGCGTTGTCTCCGGCGGAGAGCTGACGATTTTCCTGGACGGGCCTGCTGTTGATCTGGGAAGCCTGCCTAATGGCAGTGCCGTGACAGAGGGTGAGTGCCGCCCGTCTCCGCATGCACGCGGCAGCTCTGAGCACGAGGCGGTGAGCAGCAGCGGGGAGAGGAGTGGGGCTGAGAGCACGGCCCTCAGGACCTCTGAGCAAGCGTCCGAGTGCCAGCAGCCACATCCTCTCCCAGGTAAGGCTCCGGCCCCTGCCCACCCCAACTCTGGGCTTGTGCACGGGCTCCCGCGGGAGCGAGCGTGTGGTGGGACAGGAGCGGGAGCGTCGACAGGCTCACGCCCTGCCTCCTCGCTGGTGTGAGAGGAGCGGCCCTTCCCTGGGCCCTCCACCAGCCGCCCATGCGGCTCAACCCCTTCCCTTTCTGTTCCACGTGGGCTGGGGAAATGGCTTCTGTATTTAATGAGCCACTCGGAGAAGCGCTCCCCGTGGCAGAGGGTGTGCGGAGACAGGCTGGTGCCTGACCCGTTGGGGCTGTCTGGGGAGCAAGCAGAGTTTGTGCTGGGCAGGGACTGGTGCATTGCTTTCCCTCGGCTCCTTCCCTTCCTTGCTGGGAGATGAAGCCTGTGAAATCTGGGAGTCTTAAATGTGGCTGCTCTCCCGGTGCTGCCAGTTCTGCCAAGTCCTGCCTTTACCTTCCCTGGTGCTGCGCCCAGAGCCATGGGGTGCTGTGGGGATGGGCTATGCCGTTGTACAGTGGTGGGAGAGGAGAGTACCCCAAAGTAAGGGCAGGGGCTCCTTGTGTGCTGCTGGGTCTGTCCTGTAATATGTGGAGCTGTTGTACTTTTTGGTCTCCCTTCTGGAAGGAAGGAGGCTAGAATGGGTGCCTCCATAATTTTCTTCACCCACTTTTTCTTCACCCATTCAGGGTCCCAGGTGCCTGGACGGGACCCCAGCAGCATGGCTGCCGCCACAGAAGGCAGACACCAGCCTCCCAGTACAAACTGCTTTGGAAGCAGACCGAGGTAAGGGTCCTGCGCTGGCAGCCCCGCTCAGTCCGTTACTGGGTGGTTGCTGTGGCTGTGAGGCAGCTGAGAAATGTCTGGATCATCCCTGTGCAGTGGACCCCATTCCATTTCTCCCAGTAAGCCCCCAGCGAAGCAGCCTGTAGGAAGTACGGGGCGGGGGTGGGCTGGCCAACCTCCTGGAGGACAGCAGAGCTGGGAGGTGCTGAGGGGTGGCCATACCGCCGGGGTGCGGCTGACCCAAGCCTCTCTTAAAGCATTTGTTTCTCCAGGAAAATCAGGTCTGTGATGGCCCAGACAGTTTCCACCAGTTTTTCTACTGGCAGCCGAGGGAATGGTCTGCCAGGGAGGTGTGGGGCAGGCTGTGACCAGGCAAACCAGCAAAGGGCTGGTCCCCAGGGGTCCCTTCAAATGGGGATTATGGGGGGAGCACAGCCCCGCCAGGCACTGGGCCAGGCTGGGAAGCACAACGCCCCTCCGGGCGACGGTCACAGGGGGACACTTCCAAAGGCCCAGGGAGAGCAGGAGAAGCAGAGCTGGAGGGAAGTAACAGCTGCTTCCAAAGGCAACGAGCTGCTTGGGCAGCAGGCCATCCTGCGCCTGGCACGCTGCCCGCCCTTGCCTTCTCGCTGGGCTGGAGTGGCTCAGCGCTGCTCCTTTTGGAGCTGTGGTTATTGAGAGACGTGTCACGCTGTCAACATGGAGTTGAATTTAACACCTATTTATATTTCCAGAGCGTGGCAGTGGCCCAGCAGCCTATACAGATGTTCTGGTTAGAAGTGTGCCTGTAGAGAGGGTGCCTGCAGCCTGCCCCATAAGAGGTTCTGCGGGTCCTGGGCTTAGGAGCCTCCTCGGCAACAAGCCCCCACACCTCAAGCTCTTCTGCTCCTCCTTCATCTGCCAGGCACATATGAGAGATGAGCAAAGGGGAGAAATGTTTTCGGCTCTAAAGAGTAACCCTGGTCCTCCATATCGTGTGTTTGTCTCCTGTCCGAGGCAGGAGTGGCATGGGAAATTTGGAACAGGTTGCTGAGCACAGTTCAGTGCCCTTTTGTTGTGGCTGCTCCTCTTGACTCCTGCTGCCCAGGCGCTGAAGCCCTCTCTGGGGTGAGTGCTCAGTGTCCTGATGGGAGCTGGATTTCCCAGCCACTTAGCAGCTATCAGGAGGTGCTGGAAAGCCTGTAAAGAAAGTTTGGGAGTTTGGGAGGCTCAGCCTGGCCGAGTGGGTGTGATTTGCTTACCTCTGATTCCTGTTTTCTGGAAGTAGTTTCTGCTTTTGGCGTCCTCTCAACATGCGAGCATGTAAGAGAAGCGTGGTGAGGTCTGGCTGGTGCTTCTGCAAGGGGCCTTCAGAGACCTTCCAGGTGTGCTTGCCATCATTAAAAATCCCATGGTATGGGAAATGTAGTAGCTAGTTTCCAATTTGTCCCAGGCTCACCTGAATTTGGGGTTGTTCGGGACACAACTCCACCATTTGATGCAGTAGCACCTCGTGGGGCAGAGCACTGATGTATGTACCCACCGTGGAGGCAGCTGCCTTCTCCGGGGTGGGGTACGGGTCCTTTGCACGTGGGAATGCTGTTTGATGTTTGCTCTCTGTGTCCGCAGAGCCATGTTTATTTTCCTGGGCTTGGTGATGGATGCTGGCAAACTCACTTGCAGGCAGGATGGAAAGAAAAGGGTCATTCTTTGCTCCTCAGCTATTTCTGCACTGTCCCCTCAAGGGAAACTGCTTGGTCAGGGCTTTTCTTTCTTCTCCTGAACAAATGGCATCTTGGGATTTGCTGCTAATCTTGGTGACGGGGTGTGAAATTCCACAGCCCTGTGCGAGGAGAGAAAACAGAGGCCCGGGGTCCCCAGCTGAGAGCTGGTGCCATGGGTGCCCGGAGAGTTGCCACAATCCCTGTTTGTCCTGTGGTGGCCAAAGGGGGCCCCTACCGACAGCAGGGAACAGAGGAGCCAGGTCGGCTGTTGCGATCCGGGCACGGCCGTGAGAAGCTGCTGTCCCCTGTCACGAGCTTGTGCAGACTCAGGTGATTTCAGTGCAGCGTGCTTTGCTTTCTCTGCTCGTGTGATGTCCACACGTCACCGCGCAGCTAGCGACGGGCGTGAGCATCCCGCAGGGCGGGCAGGAGGCACAGCTCCCTGTTGTCTGAAAAGCGGACTCCCGGCCCGGTGTGCGATAACTGTGGCGCGCTCGGGAGACATTGCTTATTTATTTCACTTCTGCGCAGAGATGGGCACTAGGTGGTTGCTCCACAGAGCTAGCACCCCTCGGTTAGCACATTTCATACTCTCAGAGCAACAGCTATCGGTGATTTTCTCAATCACACTTAATCACTTTCATTTCTTATGTTTCCCGTGAGCCTAGCGTTCGTTTAAAGCTACAGCATCCTCTCTTTGTACCACGTGTGTTCTGTGAGGAAGGGTCCTGACCTTGGCAAGGGTCCTTTGACCCAGGGGTGTGATTTTTAGTATTCTAACGAGGGTAGTTCAGTTAAGGATACATGGACCTTGGGCTTACTTGCCAAGTTTCAGATGTTTTCAAAACATCTAGATTAGTTGTCCTTTCCAAGCCTACTTGCTCCAGGATGCCCTTGTTCTAAGAATGCTAGCTATATTTTTCTGATTACAGATGATTAAATGTTCTTATTATTGTTTCTCAAACCATTCTAAACTTCTGAGTTAGCCTTCAGCATCCGGGGCGCTCAGACGAAGCATTTCCCTCCGTGAGAGCCGTTGCTCTGCAAAGCCCCGCGCGTGGCTGCGGGATGTCCCCAGGCGGGTGGCTCCTGGTGCGGCGCGGCCGGGGGAGCTGCAGTCTGTGGTTCCAGCCCTGGCACGGGCAGTGCTGCCTGCTGCTGCAGAGGGGCTGGGAGGTTTTGCTCAGGGCCTTGCAGGACAAGGTGTGGGATGGGTCTTGGGTTAGCTGGAAGCGGGTGGGTGACGGGAATAGACTGGGTTTGGGGCTTTGGAGCCAGGCACCTCTTTGGCTGCATGCCCTGCTGCCGTGGGGCGAGGGGGGGTTCCTCCTGCCCCAGCTCCGGGGTGCTGGTACACGGGTGCCTTCTCTGCTCCTGGCACTGCAGGCGTGAGGGGTGGGTGCTGGGGGATGTGTCTGCCTGCTCCCCTCTTTTGCAGGGGCAGGGGGAATTTCTCAGCTCCGCGTTTCGGGAGCTGAGCCCCCACTGCCCACGTGGTGCCGGGGCTATCCCGGCTGTGTTTCCCAGTGGTCATGCGCCACCTCTGCTGGCGTCTCTTGCCAGGACCTTCTGGCCACCGCAGCGGGAGGAGGTGGTGGCCGTTCCCAGGTTTCGTGCCCAGCGCCCACGTCAGCCTCTGCGGCGCGGGGGCTCTGCCTTGGCAGAAGGGAGGAGCTGAACGGTTGATGTCACCCTGGCTGACGCCACTTTCCTCTTTGGCATTGTCTGCTCCTTCTGGCCCAGGAGGGGCGATGGGGCAGCCACCCGAGGTCCGTGATGGACGGGGGACAGCGGGGGTCTTGCCAGCCACCTGGGAGGTGGGCTGCCCTCCTCCCTCCCCGCTCCATCCCACTGGCGTGGCCGCGAGAGTCTGTTCCCATCCGCGCCGTGACTTGTTTTCTCCCTGCTCCTATTTTAAGAGCCCGTTCCCAGCCCCGCTGCTCTCACGTGGCCTCGCTGGGTTTGTTTCCACGCGTCTATTAAAAGACAATGCCCAGATGGGAGCACTCGTAGGAGGGCTGGGCTGGGCGGCGAGCCGGCTAATTCAGGCCTGGTAACCCTGTGCGGCCGGCTGGCAGCGTGGAAACATCCTGTTTTGGTTTCTAAAAACTCTCCAGGCAGCACTTAGCTCATCTGT